AGGAAAAAAATAGCGTAATATCGATTAGTGAGAGCTCGTCTCCATGGCGGCGTTCAAATTATGCTGCATTCATTGCGGGGCCGACACGGATGAGCTCCACCACGTGTTCTGCGGTACTCTGAGGCTCCGTGAGTGTGTGAGTACATCTTGATTTGAATGATTTTCGGGCTTGCCCACGAGGGGACGTACCTCTGGACTCCTTCACGCTCCCCCTCCGTCGATCTACGTCTCGATCCGTCAGCGGAAGCACGAAATAGAACCTTCAGCGTTGAATTTCACTCCACAGGGAAAATGCGGGAAATTCGTGGACGAGTTACTCGAAGTCGAACCGATGATCATTGGAGTGAAGCTCTTCCTCCAACGCAAAGAAGTTTACCGGCATTTCTGTCGGAACGCTCTCGGTGATCTACCCCTCCAAGTGCCAATCATTCTGCTTGCGATAGAGATGTTCCTCGCTTGGACCATCTACAATCAAGCCGGAGACTTCGATTCAACGGTTGATGGGTTCAAATGGAACGTGGTGCGTATCATCACGCAGGTGCTCCTTGGCTGGATCGCTCACGTTCTGACGGTCTGTGTTGCCCTTCGCCTGTTTTCGAATGACTTCTTCAAGTGAGTTTCAGCATTGTATGCCTCAGACGTTCACCTTGTGAGATGGGATATGCCGATGGAGGAATCAGTCACGAAAGAGAGGCGTTCCGATCCGCATCGCATTCTACTGACATCGAATCATTTCTCAGAATGTCCCGCATATTCTTCATCATTGTCGTGGCGAGTTTCTGCAAACTCTTCAACCTCGGTGTTCTCCTCTGGAGTCCACCCGAGTGTCACGAATACGCAGCTTACGTGGTCGAAGGCTGTTGGCTCCTGGCTCAATATCGGATGCTACAATGTACGAATTCATTCAGCAAAATAATCGCATCGCTCGTCCGGCATATCGGACACCGGTACCATGGTGTACTTGATTTTATCCCCTGCAGAAGACGACTTTTCCCCCTCAAACCAGCGAATCTGGCTCGCCGCCCCCGCTCGTTCTAGCGCTCGGAGACTTCCATTTTGATCACTCTCATTTCAGGTAGTCTCGAGGGGCGTCCTCTCTGCAGTGCGCTGATCGTGAGCTGCGCGGCGTATTCGAAGTTTGCGGCGAGCAGCTGCGATTCGATATCCGTGTTCGCAGCCGACTCCTTATCCCAATATTTTTGAAGATGATTCAGCACCAACGTCCGGTGCGAATGGTTGTGAGACCCTTGCGATCGTTGCTCGTTTCGAACGGCTTTGGAGAAGACTTTATTCGGGGGTTGAATAAACATTGGCAGAGATGATTAGCTTTTCTACGCGTTCTCAATCATCCTGCCAGGAGCCGGAGATAATAACCGCTTCATATTAACGGAACTCGATCAGTACCACGGTTGACGCAGATTTCCTTCCAAAATGAACGGGGAGGAGAAAAATCATCAGAACCGGCATAGAATCGCTATAGCGGAAGTTTTACTATTTATCTGAAGATGTCCTACGAGCCGTAGTATCAAGCTGTCACGAGTGTTGTATGTACATTTTAATTCATGAGTAATGCCATGGATGTTCGAGCAGAATCAGCTTTCAGGCACTTCAGCGAATGAGGGCCGAGACGACTCCGTGTCCACAAAACATGACACTACAGCTCCCCCGATTGAATTCAGAGTCATTGGCTGGAGTCGATTCTGAGGTTTGTCAAAAATATATCCATGCGCCCGAAAATTATTAAATTCAAGTAGGATCGAGGATCGACGTTTGAGAGAGAACAATTCTCAGCAAGGCCTTCAGAGCCCAAGCCCTCGACGCGGCTTGAGCTGGGGGTCAGGAACCGATCGAGGAGGCAGAACAATCAGACTGTAGTCACCTGCCTCCCACAAACTTCGAGAATTTTCTCGCAGACCTTCGCGTAATCGATCGAACTGCCGTTCAGACGCTTCCGTTTGATGACGAGGCAGTTCCATTCCAGAGACCGACAGATTTCCAGTTCTAAGGTAGACTTGGCTAACTTCTTGTCACCAGGTCGAACGTTCTCACGGTCGGAGAGCTTCAATCTGAAAGAACGATGAGATTCGAATATCATCTGGTCCGACCGAATTGATACTACGAAGATATTCCCCGCTCGTCTCGAATGTCACGAGGGGGAGAGATGATCTGCGAAATTATGCTCACCCTCGGATAACGAATCCCTTGATTTCCGTTTAGTGCTTGAGATCCTGCAGTTTGGTCTCGAGTTTGTGCAGGAGTTCTCCATAGTCGACCACATAAGGTACTTTGGCTACGTTCTGAGTGTGTTTCACGTATCTGTGGCGTGGAAACATGACAATTAGAGATGTTCCCGCGGAATCCTCCACCGCTCCGAAGACTGCACGCACGGGAATTCGAAGAATCGCTCGGGACTCGGGACTTACCTCGGTTCCTGACCCGCATTCCTACCGGGAGTCATCAGCGCGCGACGCACCTTGCCGAACAACTTTTTCGTCGACGACCAGGCCGTGCCGCCACCCGACGCCAGCGTTGACTTCATAGGAGTACGTTGAGGAGTCATGAACACAAAGTCGCCCACAGGGGCTTCAGCAGCTCTACGAGGCGTTGCGGTCTCCAGGACCCTGAATGAAGAACGGGCCTCCATTGCTTCTTGGCGTACCTGAAGAAAGCAAGCATGGTGAGTCACTCTCGATCAACCCCTAATCATACCGACTGTACCATGGGACTCAGGTTGGAACCTCAGGATATCAGATCGACGAGAGATGTCGAGGCAGCCAACGAGACCATCGTCCGCATAATCGGAATGAGCATCCCAATGACAAGAACTAGAATATCCGAGCCATGGTTCGACAGAGCCTGATACCGATTGCGGATGACGCCGCTGCGCGACTGTCGAAGCCGCCGCACGCTTGAACTCCATGGACAGAGTCCACGAGCTCCGTGCCGCCTAAAGATCGTTGTTGACACGTGAGGAGAAGAACTACGACTCCGAAAATAGACTACTGGCGGAAGCACGGAGTCAACCGTATCGATGGCTGAGAAAGGACAGTGGCGGGCGCTTATGCCCGAAACCCTCCTCCACGCTTTCTGAGCATTTCAGCAAGCTTTTCAACGGCGAGGATACAGTTCTGAGAGAGATCCCGCAGATCAAATGGGTACGTCAGACGGAAGACCTGGATGAAACCGAGATTCCGGACGCGCCGTGGCCCGCCGCAGAAGTGGTTGCCACGGTCGGCTCGCTTCCGAGGCACAAGGCGGCTTGATCAGACCGAATCTCGAATGAACATCTTCAGCAATGCGGAGCGATGACACCTCAAATCACTGCTCTATTGAACGTCTGCTCCGAGAACGGGTCGGTACCAGAGGAGTGGAGGAAGTGTGAGCTGGCAATCACCCCGAAGGGGAAGGCAACCCCCTGGGGACATCGTCTTGGAGCGGAATCGCGAAGCGAAATGTCCGAAGCAAACTACGTTCTACAATGGTTACCGTCAGACTTGAACGGTATCTCGACTCCGGAAAACTCATTCTCGAGCAACAATTTGCCTTCAGACCGGGCAGGTCGACGCTCATGGCCGGCGAGGTTCTGTTGAAAGATACTAAGAAGGCCATCAAACCCGGACAGGCTCTCTTATATGTATGTCGTTTTCATCGACTATAAGGCCCCTTTCGATCTATCATCGAGAAAGATTATTCTGAACAAGCTGGCTGTCGCTGGAGTCACGATGAAAATGCTGCGTCTACTGGGCCAAATGATGCAAGAGGGAACTGTCAGCATCGACGACGGGGTCAGAACTTTGCCCCCCTTCCCGCAGACAACAGGCGTTCCGCAGGGGGACAATCTGAGTCCCCTGCTGTTCTCGGTTTTGTTGAGCGATCTTCCGGAGTTCATCAGCGCCCGGCATGATCTTGTGTCGACGCTTCTGTATGCTGACGACGCGGTTTTGTATTCTAGATCTCCAATGGAGCTCCAGAAAGCAATGAAAACCTCAAATTACTGCTCGGGAGCAAACGGCCTCACCGTGAATATGGCTGAAACGAAACTCATGAAGTTCGGCAGAGGTGGTTGCCCGGCATCAGGCGACATTTTTACACTGTCCGGAGATCGAATCGAGAAGGTACTTGATTTTACGTATCTCGGAATCCGCATCAACAGGTCCGGACTTCACTTCTCGAAGCACATTGAGAAAAGACTGGAGAAGGCGAGGCACGCTTTCGGTTCCATCCCGAAACCCGGCGAACTCTTTCTCCGAACCGCACTATCGCTCTTTGACATAAAGATAGCCCCGATCGCCTCCTACGGCATACAGCTCATTTGGGAACATTTAAGTCAGGCCCATCTTGGCAGATTCGATAAGCTCAAGACGAGTTATCTAAAGATTGTTCTCGGGGTGCATCGTACATCCAGAAACCGGCTCTATTATCTCCTAGCGTCCTAGCGGAAACTCCGCTCTTCACGGAGGGACTCCGAAAAAAGTACCGCCTGCCGATAACGGCAACCTTTCACAGGCACCTCGAGTCCTGGCAGCAAAAATTCTCCGACATCAACGGGGATTTCCTGAACTGTCCTGCGATGATAAACGACCGCTGGAAACAACAAAGGTTCGGCAACAGGCACCTCTTGACCAGAGGAGCGATCCACGGTTTCCACTTCCAGATCTGTCGAGCATTGAACGCACATACTCCAAACGAGGACTGTCATTGTGAGCTTCGTGGCGAAAGCGGCCCGGAATATCAGTTTTACCGTTGTAAAGATCAGAGGAATTTTAAGTGGAACGGCAATTGAATGCGTTATAATATATTCTCGACTTCACACCCATTAGATGGAAAATAAAGCAAAATTTCGGAGTCACTCTCGATCGCTCTGCTCCCGAGGGAATCGTGGGAATCTTGATATTCTCATAAGCGGTCAAACATCTGAAATGACTTTATACAAGCGGACCTGGGGCGAACTATTGATGACCATAAGATCGACGTCGCCGAGTCCTTCCTCGAGGGTTTTGGGCCTTTCCTGGGTACCATGAAAAGAGAACGGGATCAAGCCATGCGATCGCTTTCGATGTCGAATATTTTCCCCGACGGATATCGAGGAGCAAACCCCACCTGTCTGGCATGGGGAGTCGACGCTTCATTTTTCAATGGAATCATTGAGTACCGTTGGAGGTTTATGGTAGTATTTTGACATTCCGTTGATCACCATGGGATCGGCCGATTGCATGCCCGCCTCAGAGTCCTGCCGGTTGTACATGGCGGCGTAAGTTGCCGCCGATAGACATTTCCCATCGGTTTCCCACAACCGGACAAACAGACACACTTCCATTTTTATATATAGAGAAGACTAGCCGTGCCCGTCCCGTAGTTTTTTTCCAGCTAAGTTTCGGCTCTTCGAAGAGGGTCTGAGCCACACGTTGGCAGCCCTAAAGAAGTCCCAGACCCTTCCTAAGAAGTCTTAGACTGTTTGCGTAATTTCAATGCGATAATCTTCCGCAAATCTGGCATCCTCCTCCAAAGAGCCCACCCCCCCCCTCAGGTTCTCTCGTCCCTGAAGAACTCCGTGTCCGCGGCACCACGAGACGTTTTCGAGGTATGGGTCGTAGTTCTTTCCTGAAGTATTGAAGCTAGAAGAGTCCCTAGGAACCCATCCCGTTGTTGCTGACGGTAAGTTTCCACCTCGATCTCTCGAAAGTATCGAGTCCTGCTAATGTCAAACTGATGAACAGCAGATCGTGATTTTCGAGTCTTCCGCTAGGTGTCGCCTTCGTCCCAGATGAGAACCTGATTGGCGGACTCTGACTTCGAGCACGCTCAGACATTTTCATGGCATGTACTTCGTGTATTAATACAGGAACTCTGATTCCACTTTTTCCGCGAGGCAGACCTATAGAACTCCGATTTCACGACCACGAGTCTAAATCCGACGCTTCGAATCGAGGTAAGTGACCCAGCAACGGCTTGAAAACGAAGCTCCGCCGTGGCTGAAGCCAGTCTTAGACAGCGCGGACGGGGTTGCACCATACAAGCTCGCCCTCGAAACCCCTTGCTGCATGGAACCGCGAGAGCCTCCTCATACCCATGTCGCCGCAGCTCTCGCAAGAGCGTTGCGGTGACATATCCTCGAGCAACTTTCGACGGTCTTCCAGCAACAGTAAAGGGTCCGCTACTATCTGCTCTCCTCGATAGTCCTTTGCTGTTGTCTTCAGAGCCGATCGTATTCACAAAGCATGGATCGGGGGGTTGCGGCGGCCATCCTCCTTTTCAGTTTTTCGTCCACCTTCGGGAGGAGCGGATACCCGGGAATTTCCGCAGTCATCTTACGATTCATCCGGCAGGGATG